GTTTTTGTTGTTAGATGTTGTCTAGTTGGTCCCCAACTCATGGTGACCCCATGCATCACAGAATCAAACTGCTGTGATCCACAGGGTTTTCACTGGCTGATTTTTGGAAGTAGATTGCCAGTCCTTTCTTCCTAGTGTCTTGATCTAAAAGCTTCACTGAAACCTGGTCAGCAACACAGCAACACACAAGTCTCCACTGACAGATGAATGATGGTTGGTCTTGAGGTGCACTGGCTGGCAATGGAACCCGGGTTGCCCAGATAGAACGTGAGAATTCTACCACTGAACCACCACTGTCCTCTAACTACATACCAGTAGACCACATAATATTTTTTTATACTGTTTATCTGAAGCAGATCAGCCTGATGGAATTGTGCCAGGATAATCAACCGATTAATCTTATTTGGCCATGAAATGATTACCAAGTATTTTATAAATTTATGATCTTTGACTTTCTAATTCAGCCACTACCCCCAAAATTAAAGAAATAATATTGGGTAGTTTCTTCCTTTGGGGATTTTTCTCATTGCTATAGAAATGAACTTTTCATATATAATCTTCATAAAGGTCTATGATTGAGTATTAAGATTCCCACCACACAGTTCCATGGGTTATCATGGAAGCAAAATCTTGAGAACAAAATTGTTTTTTAATTTTTATCTACAACAATAGGTAAAAAAAGATGACAAGGTTAACGAGGTAGGCAATATTTTAAAAATACTATGCAAAATGAATGGGAGTGACACTGGTCCTACTTTCATACATTAATGACTTGTTTCATGTCTGTCTCCTCTGCTAGGCCACATATTCTGTGAGTGAAGCACTATGTCTTTTTCATTGTTTCATCCCCAGTGTCTAATAATATGCCTTGCACACAATAGATATATAGTGACAGAATGATTAACAAATAACTAGTATTTGCATAATGTCATTACAACACACTTTTCTATGTGCTCTCTCATTTGATCTTCATAATAGTACTTGTTCTATCCGTCTGACCAATGGGGAAGTAAAGGCTCAGAAAGATTTCTAGTAAACGACAGTTTAGAAAAAAAGTCCTGTGTGTCAAACCCAGAACAAAATGCATGAAATAGAGGTAGCATCACTACCACCTCTTTTCCCCCTCTACAATACAGTTAAAACTCAGGAAGAAAAAAAAAGAAAACAGTTACATTAGAATAGTATCTTTTTCAGGAATTAAAACAAACAAGTATTATAGGCATCTTCCAATTGTTGCTATTCTTTCCCATTTCAAGTGATAAATACTGAAACAAAATATTGCTTAGTTACCAAGAACGAAAGATTTGATCCCATTCCTTGTTATGTCAATGGACCAATAAACAAAGCCTTTTCCACATCATTAACTTTTAAGTGAAAAATCCTCATGTATCCAGCTATCAAAGTATGCTTCTATAAATTTACTGAGCTTCTACTCCATGTACATCTTTGTGATACCTGAGTTTTAAAAGCAAAATTCACAATAAAATTTTCAAGTTTTACCCATAAAGTAGTTGTTAAGGAGTTACTGTTAGTAAAGTGAAGAGTCTGTCTTTTGTTCATAAAGGAAACATGCTAAAACATCCCC